TTTCTTGTAGGTGGACTACCGAGGCCTTGAGCTCCATCGAGCTAGAAAAATGGAATCGAATGGAATGGGGCTTACAGCAGTGGCAAGAAGGCTGCCTCAATGGCCAGCGAATGCTGTCGAAATCAATTTGGCTAATGTTGTCGCCATCGGCTGACGGAAACACATCAACAACCCCCTGTCTCCATATTCATACGATTTCACTGCGAAATCAAGAAGTTTCTGGCACTTTCAAGAAATCACATGCCAGCTAATATAAATATTTACTGATAGTATGTTAAATGTTTCAGATTATATATAATATAAAATTATAATATCATATTATACGTTTTATTTATTTTCTTATCAAAGTTGTCTTCCTGTTTTTCTAAAACTAAATGTTGTTGTTCAAAATCTGGTTTAACTTTTGACTCAAGACATTTATACGTCAAATTTTTTTGCCAAAGAAGATTATGGTATATATTATAAATATGATATGAAGTTCTTTAATTGACATTTTTCATTTTTTATACATTTTAGTTATGTTAATGACTTCTAAAAGATTTATAAATTATTTTGTCAATCAAAATTTGGTGTTCCTGTGAGAAAAATCGTACCAAATAGTTATGCCAAATTGGTTTTAGCAAAGCCTTATCAATCATGTGTTCTGTGCAAACCTTGGGATATTGAAAGCAGATCCCAACGAAAGTCAAACCATCAAAGAGCTCAAATTGTTGAGCCGAGCACGCAGCAAACGCATTCATTGCAATGCGAAATCAATTACACTAAAACCCGCCACCGAAGGGAGGGGAATATTGCTGTTCTTTTGGGGGAGGAGGGGGTTGTGGAAAGGAGTACCCCTTACCACCCCCTTTCCCCCTTTTCACCCCCCTTTTGTGGAAACACGTCGCGCACGTGCCGAGCGTACCGCCGATAATTTGTAGTAACAAGGCAGACGAAAGGGAAAAAAAAAAAAGAAAAGTAAAATAAAAATAAAAACCAAAAAGCAACCACCGGGGAAGAATCCCACCCTCCGAAAGTGGAAAAGAATGAACCCAAACCCCCAGAAAACCTAAAACCAAACCACATCCCCCACCAAAATGGGGAAAAGAATTGAAAAATTACTAAACACAAAAGCGCGGAACGTGTTTTTGGAGACTGCCCACCCAAAAGTAAAAAAAAAAAAAAAAAAGAAAAGAAAACAACACACACACAAAAGCACACACCCATATGAATGGGAAATAAATATAAAAAATAATAATTTTGACTTTTGAACAGGAGTCGAGGGGGCGGGGAAAAGCCCCAAGTTTATTGCATTCCACTTACGGAATCCCAAGAGTTTGGGGGCATTTCGTTTTTTTTTTTTTTTTCAATTTTTTTTTGGTTGTTGAGCAAGAGCGATAAGCACTCATTCATTATTCACTCACTCACTCGCATATGATTCACATTTATGGGATGGTTTTAATTGCATTCCGGTTGATAGATGTGCTTACCGCAATTAGAACAATGGAGTACAAAAGGGCATTGCATAAACCACTGATGATTAAGATTTGTCAATCAATTTTAATTATATAAAAAATTACAAACAACACTAGATCAAAAAAAATTACAATTTAAATTAATTATTAATTACACGAAAAGTAACTATTTTTATTTGCAATTTGCGTCTCATAAAATCTTAATGAAAAGGAGAAATACCTCTATTATTATTAATTCTTAAAAAGAGCTTGCTTTTTAGCTTGTTTATACTATTTTTTCTTTTCAGAATAGCTTTTAAATGCTTATAGGTATTGAAATTCCAACGAAAACATAATTGAACGCAGTTTGTATGCCATTTGGACAATCGTTGTGTGCTAAACTTTCGCCCATTTCGGCTCGAGTACTTTATGGGGCCAAATATGCCGGTTCATCGTGCCGCCTTTGGCCTTGAAATCGATCACTATCCAGCAGACAGACAATGGCCAAAACGGTGGCTATCCGTTAAATAAAAAAAATGCCAGCAAAAAGCAAATGGCAAACCAAAGAGCGAGCTCTTTTTGCACGCGACATTCAAATCGCGTCAGGCTTCACTTGGCAGCAATCCCAAATGGATTCGAGTGACTCCAAGTTGGGCACCGTCCCTCCTTCTTTTTCGGAATGAATAAAAACTGCTCAACTAGCCCAAGTTTGGTTGACAATTTGTTGACAATTGCGTTTCACACTTTGCATAATAATCAGAATTGGCATGAGGATATGGGTTCGGTGTATAAAGTTTGCATAGTTCATAAATATAAAAGCAATGTTTGCGAAACGAAGATTCCCATTTCCACTGTGAATTCGAAAACAGATTCTGAATTCCCTTGAAGGCGAGACAAATTATGGTAATATATTTACAAGGAAATTCAGCCAGCGAAATGAATCAGAATCCGAATCAGAATCAGAATCGCAATCAGAAATGTATGGAGGGAATATCTGTCGCACTTTAAATTAAAACCTGCACACAAAAACACTCAAATGTAATCGAATAGCTTAGCTTTGGGACTCGAATGCGAATATGTCGAACACGAATCGCGGTTGTCTCTATTATATTGTAATTGTTGTCATTGTTGGCTCGTCAAGTGATTCAGGTAATTGCGAAATGCGGCAATGTTTATTTTATATTTCTCCTCCCCCCTCACATTTGTTGTTATTGTTGTTGTCCAATGCATTCTGCATTCGAAATCTAACCAGAGCACGACTGAATCGAATCGAATGGAATCGAATCGACTCGGCGAAATCGTGAAAGTTCCCAACAATGCGGGGCATGCGGAAAAGTGCGGAAAAGCGCAGAAAAGCGCAGGGCGCACAAACCGATGGCTGATGGGTTGTTGTGGGGAATTCGGATAGGTTCGGATACTATGGTAGTAGGTGCAGCCGAGGGAATCGGTGCCACACAGAGAAAAAAACATCGATGGCAATATTCCGAAGCACTTAGCATTCAAACAGCGATGAGTTCGAACCGAAGTTCGTGGGAATTATGTTGGTGGAAAGCAGAAATGCACATATGTAACCCATTAGGATTTATGCTACTTACAAACAAATTTATTTGAGATATAGGTTTTGAAAGGGAATATTTAAAATCACTTCTATGAAAGCAATCCTAACTTGCTAATAAATATTATTGAGCAAGGCAATTAATTCATTTCCTAACAAAACTGGGATTGTAGCAAAATAATATTTAAATTAAAAGGCCAAATTAAATTTAAACACAAAACAAGAAAGACGAATATACAGAATACCTTGAATTATTTCAAGTCGACACATATAATTATTTAACACGAATAGAAAATGTTATGAGACAAAATTGAACCTTAAATGAAATGAAAACAGGAAATGACTAAATCTTTTTCAAAGAAAATATAAGGAAACGTTAAAAAATAAACCTTATAGCACACATGTGAGGGATATATATCCTTTATTAATGATTCGTTTGATGAGTTTCTCAACAAATCTTTGGGGACACGCAAATCTCTTTCTTTTTGCCCGCCTTTAAAGTGGCTCTTTAACGATAAACGGAAACTGCGACAAATCTTCTTCGAATTGGACAATATTTGGTTAACCGAATGACGAAAGATGCAGACATTGACGCACATAAATACGATGGAACATATAGTATAGTACTCCATTCGGACGATATGGATGTGGATGATGTGGGCCTCAGCCGAACAACAAATAAATAAATTAGGAATTCACTCGACCGCAACGACGAAAAACGAAACCCACTTTGGTGTTTTTTTTTTTTTTTTTTTTTTTTTTTTTTTTTGGGTCGCTCTGCTCTGGATCGTTTATGAATTTCTGCTCTGTTCTTGTGTTTTTTTTTCGCTTATTAATATAACTTTTGCTGGGGTTTCTTTCGATTTCTTTTGATGTCAAAACAAAGCCAGCAAATGTTTGTAATTGCTTATCGCCACAAACTGTTTACACAAGCTATTATTTGAATGGGAGCCACATATTTGAACCATTTTCTCAGCAGCGGTCACCTTTTCCCTTCCGTTCTTTTTTTTTTGTTGAGGGGAAAAAACGCCCAAAAGAAAAGCCCACTTTTGCCAAGAAATGCTTAATAATTTTTTCAACAAAATGAAATGGATACGTGCACAAGGAACACAAAAGCACTCAGACACTTGCGTTCTGACAGAGAAATTGTTGTGGAAAGTTCATAAAAACCATAAAATTCTGCATGTCAGGCGGTCGAATGTTGAATTCTCTAATGGAGTGGGTTCTACGACCCGAAAAAACTCGAAAGTTCTGGCAATATCTATAGGTAGAAAGAAATGATAGCAAAATAAATATCCATTTCTGATTTACTACCAATTAAATACTTCTCAAAGTGATTTGCTTTATATATTTTATTTAATTTTATAGTGCGCTGATATGTTAAGATTTTAAGACTCACAATCAGGCATTTCAATTTTACACTTTTAAATCTCTTTCTGAATTCAGTGTTCTAAAATGCAATAATTTATTTGAACTTAAAAATTTAAATATATGTAATGTTATTAAACCTTTCGATTATTCTTTATAGCATTAAATTCTTATAACATGTGTATTGGACATGCTGATAGGATATAAAATATCCTGTCAGTCAGGTTTTATCTCGGTCGTCCTAGCCAATAAACCCAATAAACTGGGCACTCAAATATTGTCTCTGACTTCCATTCGGTTGGCAGGTGTTGCCTTGTTTTTTTTTTTTTTATATTTTTACTGCAGTTACATAACACCACCACCGCATTTTATTAGTAATAACATTTTGAAAGCCACAGCGTGGCCGGGTTGTATTAAAATTCACATTTTGAGTGCTTCCATTGGATGCGTTATCCGATATGCCAGTCCAATGGGAATGGGATGGCTTTCGCGTCGGGTATTTAATGTCGGAATCAATAAAAAAGATTGACACATGTGCGATGAGGCAGTCTTCCATTTATGAGTTGCAAGTTGGTAGCGTCAATTTTCCATTTTCCCCCATTCAGCTTGAATTCCTCCGAATCTAAATTAAAGCGAATTTGCAGACAGGATGTCGCACGAAACAGCAGTTCCACCTGCAGGATCAACAGCAGTGGTTTCCTGCGCGGAGAACTCCTCGAAAGTGGAGGTCATTGTGTACACCACAAAATCGGATAAGACACTCAAGCAGAATATGAATGCCAAGGACGATACGTTGAGGAAGCGAACATCCTTGATTATTGTGCCGCAGCAGGTGCACGATATCCAGGTGGAAGTGGATCACCTGAAGGATCAGCTGAAGGAGTCACCAAAATCCAGGGACAACGCCAATCGCAACTCAACTGCCAGCATGGAGAGTTGTGTTTCCAACACCACCAGCAAGAGCATCCAATCGAGCGGTGGATCCTCCAGTTCATCCGCTTCGAGCAGCGGAAGTAGCAGTGGCTCCGAGGATGCCCATGCCGCCTATCAGGACCTGCAGAACGGCAATGCTGGACAGGATCTGCACTCGCCTTCGCCGGTGCCAAGGTGCCACTCCTCCACGTCCACTTCCTCCGTGTCGGAGTCCACATCCTGCTCCAGTTCGGCGGACTATTCGCTGAGGGAGCAGCTCAAGAACTTCGCCAATCGAAGTAATGAGGAGCAGCTACTGAGATCCTCAGGTGGAGGAAATGTGGAGCAGACTGGTCGTTTGATCAAGGTAATGAGTCTTCCTGTGGCCAGTGATCAGCAGTCCGCCATCTGCGATTCATTGCTCAGTCCACAGGAAGTTCCGCTGGGACGACGGTACGCCGAGGTGGCACAGTTCAAAGGTCACCCGAAGGCAAGGTGAGTTTATAGAGTTGGTTCGCCAGCTGACCGGGATTTAACCTGGTTTTTCAGAGATCCTTTATACTTGAATGCTTTTGGTTAATCTCTTTATACATTTTTGTTTCAACAGAAAGATTTTGTAACTTGTTTCTTATTTCTGATATATCTATAAAGTTTAGTTGATTGATTCTTCAACAATAAATTAATAAAATTTCAAGCAATAAAGCCCAACCAGATTCCAACTACTGCAACTACTGCTTCCTTGAATTCCCTCAACTGCATTCAATATTCAATGGATGCAACAATATAGCAAGTGACCTAGTCTGCACCCTAAGCTCTTCGCTCTTCGGTGTTTGGTCTTCGGTCTCAACCAGCACTCACTTCGATGACATCCTCCAGGTTATCTAACCACATACACTTGGCAGCCGGTGCTCCTCCTCATCAGCAATCCCCTGCTGGATGGGATGGGATGGGATGGATCCATTGTTCACCGAGTGCTCAACTAAACGATGTCAACTGGCTGCTCGACTCGAGAGTGCCCGACCACAGGCATCCCACCGAGCTGGCTGGCTGGGAGTACCAATCCCAATCCCTATTCCCCATTCCCCATTCCCAACCCACTCCAAAATCCCACTGCAAAATACCACTAGAAAATCCCACTCCCAGTTGCAATCGCAATACCCCCGATCCATTCCCCATCAACTGGCTGCACATGCATAATACACAACTTAATTAGTATTACTACTTTATGGCACTCTCGACGACGTTTGCCTCCCCTTTTTCCCCTCTCTCTCGGCCTTTTCCCGACTCCTTTTCTCTGGCTGAGACTGGGGAAAAATCTAATAATGGAGCATTCCACACACGCACTGCCATTGCCACATTACCATATCAAAAACGGTTGGGCTGCCGGGCCCGTGGGGCACAGACAGGGAGCCACAACTCCTCCTCGCCTTTCGCCTACTGCTTCTTTCTGTTTCTGTTTCGGTTTTGGCCAGATCACAAGTGCAACCCAACTACATTTGGAGAAAAGTATAAGGCTTTTAATTTCCACTAGTTATCGTTATTAAGTGCAAGAAACATAAAGCAGTTGCTTTCAAGAACATAAGCTATGAAAGTCTAACTTAATACAGGATTTGCAACATAAACTCAATTTATTTCGTTGCTTAGAATTTGATAAATCTTTTAATTTTCATTTCAGCAAGTAGATATAAGTTCTTAAATTTAAACTAAGCTACTAAAATATGTATGGTGAATCGCTTTTCCCTAAAAAAAAAAGTTTATTAATATCTAATATGCAATAAAATTGTAGGAACCTTTCGCAATGTGATTTAATTAAGTTTATAATTATTACTTTGAAGTATAAGTTTTCACAATTATGTTGAACTAATCGATTTTGTATTAACAGTTTTTCCTCACACAAATCTGTGTAACTAATCGATTTGTTATTGAAAGTTTAGCTCATAAAATTTGACTAGAATATGTAGGTATATGCTTATTTTATATTCCCACAAAAATCGCAAAGTAATTTGTAACTGCATTTCCGAGTGCACATATGAACTTTGAACGCTGTGAACTTATGTGCACTCCCCGTTTCTCCTCCTCCACTCAACAATGTGCCATCGACAACTATGTGTATGTTGAACTTTTCGAGAGCTGTCACAACTAATTTGCATATCCCCAAACTCCTTTTGCTCCTCCTTCGCTCCTTTGCTCCTGACCAGGCCAACAACTGCCATCCCATGTGACCGCATCCAGCTGAAGTGCGACCCGCATCCTACGAACCAGCGATCCACAAATCCTGCACCTCTGCTGTATATATCTACTACATATGCCTGCTTTTTGTTTCGTTTTCCACACTTTGATTTCATCGCAACTGAGAAGAAAGAGTAAATATTCATGGCAGAGCGAAAACTTTTACACAATTTTCGGGCCAACTGTGATTGCGTTGGGTGATTGAGGAGTATTCAGTATTCAGGATTCAGGATTGAGAACTGAGGAAGGGCACTGCGGATTTTCAGTTGCGAACGAAACTTCCGATTGACGGAACCACGAATGGGATTGCCAGCTGAACTTTTCAAATTTGTGCAGACCAGTAATTCAGTTAGCTCTTGAGATAAAAGGGAAATCTTAAAATACTCACAGTTTTACGAACTGTCAAGCGCAGTAAAATGTGGAAAATAAATGGAAGGGAGAAAGACCCTGAGCATTTAAGAAAACATATGGCAGTTGGACTTATTTTTATTTTCATTTAATTGTTCTGGCGAAAAAATAAGACTGATTGCAAGTCATTAAATATATAAAACACAACTGGTCTTGAGTTTTACTAAACAAAGTAGTATTACTTAATAAAAAACAAAGCTTGATTTATTGGTTCCCTTGAAAGATTTTTACTATATAAGCAACCTTGACGTTCTGAATTTTTAAGTTACATAATGTCAGTGTCATTAAACAGTTTTTCTATCTGAATTTTAGAAGCAATATTTGAGAGCACCAGGGATTCCTAATATTTTAATTTAATTACAGCTTAGCAAACCTAAATTTCTCAAAGTAAACCCCCAATTAAGACGTTTACTATTGGGTTTATAGCTAAAATTGACCTTCAGCTGGCAGATGGGTTTTAAACCTCGAGGTTTTCCTTCACTATCGACCATCTTTTCGATCCAAAGCCACTGTTTTTGCCACTTAATCTTAATTGCCATGAGTGGGCGCATTTCCATGCGACTCCTACTCCAAATTCTCCTACTCAGCTGTCAATTTCCTGTTTTGTTTATCGCTCCGCTCGTCCTTGTTTGTTCTGGAAATCCTCATAAATTCGAGCGTGTTTTCCTTTTTTTTTTTTTTTTTTTTTTTTTTTTTTGCGGTCTGGCGTGTCCTTGAGCCTGCCCCAAGTTTTTCCACAAGCCGCCTAATTCTTTAAGAGTGTTTTATTATCCAAGCGAACGGAGTCCCCGCGCCACAAAGGTTGACATCCTGTTTGTTCCGTGTTAATTTGACATGATTATGTCAGAGTGTTTGACAACTTTTCATATGGGCAAAGTCGAGCGTTTTCGCTTTTTATACCCTTGCAGAGCAAAGGGTATTATAATTTCAGTCAGAAGTTTGCAACGCAGTGAAGGAGACAACTCAGACCCCATAAAGTATATATATTCTTGATCAGCATCACCATCTGAATCGAAATATGTATGTACGTCTGTCCGTCTGTCTGTCTGTCTGTCTGTCTGTCTGTCTGTCTGTCTGTCCTCCTGTCGGTTTCTATGTAAACTAGTCTCTCAGTTTTAAAGCTATCTCGCTGAAACTTTCCCAAAAGTTGTGTCGTTGTTGCACGCAGTATATATGTCGGAACGAGCCAGATCGGGCGACTATATCGGATAGCTCCCATACAAGAGAATGAAATAAAAAATTTTTACACCGTTGTTTTTGATCAGATCGACTTGATTCCTTCCAGATGGCGTTTTCTAACTGCTATTGAATTTCGGATTAAATTTTATCAAAATCGGATAACTCTATCATATAGCTGCCATAGGAGAGATCAAAATATATATATATAAATAATGGAAAAAAAAATTATAATGTCCTTGTTTTTAATGCCACGAGCATGATTTTTGGAACATAAAGTTTTTTAAATACTCTTAAGTTGAGAAAAAAAATTCATAAAAATCGGAGTACTATATCATAGAGCTGCCATTGGAAGGATCGAAAAATCTATATAGAAATAACGGAAATATAAATATAACCTCGTTGTTTTTCATCAGACAATAATGATTTTTGGAATATAGAGTTTTCTAATGAGTCTTGAGTTACAAGTTAAATTTCATTAAAATCGGACGACTATATCATGTAGCTGTCATATGAACAATATGGAAAATTAATAGAAAAATCGTCATAGCTTCGATGCTCTTTAGCTTTTATGTATTTGATCGACATATTTAGTAACTGCAAGGGTATATAAGCTTCGGCTTGCCGAAGCTAGCTTCCTTTCTTGTTTTTTCTTGCCTTTTTCCTTGTTTATGACAAGAGGTCCTTTTCTGGGGGCGCTGATCCATCAACGGAAAGGCATTTTGTGCCTGTGGTTGGGAAGTCCTTCGAGTTGAAGGCGGAAGCACATGCCGGCTTTCATTTTTTTTCCTGCCACTTTATTTACTTCTTTTTTTTTCTTGGTCGGCCTTCGTTCGCTTTCTTTTCTATTCTCTAGCCATTCATTAATAACATTTGTGCCCTATCGTGAAAATATTGTTAAAATGGCGTAAAATTGCCCGCTTTGAGGCGTCATGACGATGCGAGTCCTGCGTCCTTCACTCTCGTCTTGAACTTTGGCCACTTTGGCGACGGCTTCGTGGGGAAGGAAAAAAATGTGTCGCAAATTAACCTTTTGACAGCTGAGTGAGGGTGAAACCGTTGACAAATGGGTCCAGAACTAAGGACCGATGACTGCGACACGACTTTAAGACACTACGAATTTGAGGGATCGAAGTCCACTTAACTGAAATGGGCGCTTAATGTCCTTGGCAAAGTTGATTGGATAATACTACAATAACAATTGTTACTTTTTCAAAAACATATGTTTTTACTATTATTAATTCAAAGTACAAGCCTTGTCTTAAAAAGTTATTATAATAATTTATGAATAGAAATAAATTGATTATATTAATTAACCTTTTAAGTTTGAATATGTTTAAAGGGTTTAAACTTATTACTTGAATTTTATTTTGGAAACTTTCCCTAACTGTATTTCTTCACTACTCTTATATGAGTGAGGTCACACTAATTTCTTATATGGTTGCAAGCCACACTACTTTTATTTGAATAAACAATGCAACTAGTAAGATTAAAACTCCTTAAATATTTTTGCCACCTTAATCTGTAACTAATTTAGTATTCCGCCCTTCCCTTTTGCAGAACGAGTGAGCCGCTTCCTTCTGCTGGAAACACGGCCTCGTCCTTGGAAAATGCCTCTGTGGATGGCGGCAATTCCCACAGTGGCAACAACAACAACATCAACAACATTCACAATGGCCAACAGTCACAAAAATCTCAGCAGCAAGCGAGTCTCAGCGCCATCAGCAGCAAACTGAATGTCCTGTCAAATCTCAATAAAAACAACAACAACAACAATAACAACAACAACGGATCCATGACATCCGCTCCAAATCGAACGGGATTGGATTCGAATCAGAATCAGAATCAGAATCAAAATCAGAACCAAAACCAAAATCAGAATCAAAATCAGAACGGCGACAGTCGCCGGAGCAGCAGCCTCGATCCGGATGTGGATGACGTGGTGGACGCCACCATTGGTGGCGCCTTCGAGGACGACATGCAGGCCCTCCTGCCCAAGTGCTCCCGTCGCTCCCGGGATGAGCTCAGTCAGGTGAGTTGATCCTAATGAATCCCAGGGAGGATTTACTTATTATAAACTAGCTTAATTACAACCAAGAAGGGCTGATTATGCCTGATTTCCCATCTCGCCAAGTTTAGCTTGTAAACGAAAAAAATATCTGTAATAATTTAGCATTTTTTTTTAATGACAAAACATCGACCAATAAATGAAAAACAAACGAATGAGGCAGTTTGTTAGATATTTGAATAACAAATTTACAGAGGTATGCCACTTGTAAATCGGAAAAAAATTAGAAAAATTATGAGTTTGAAAGTGCTGGGATCTGGTCACCTTTTTGTAATTACATTTTTTGCAATTTTAAAAAGGCAAAACAAAACAATAAACTAATAGTACAGAATGCTTTCTTTTGTTTTCGAGGCTTATTTAAACATGGTTCCTTTGAAATGTTTAAGGGGCACAACTAGTGTGACATTTCAAAAAAATCTTTTTTTTTTTCTTTCATATTTCGGTAGATTACACCTTTAAAAATAACATATTAAAATTTCAAATCGATATCTTAAATAGTTTTTGAGTTATAGCAATTTTAAGAGCAGCCGCTCCTATAGCACTGAATACGATCATTTTATCTTTAAACGCGTTTTTCTCGAAACTTCATTTTCCGAATTTGCTGCAGTGATAACTCAAAAACTAATGATCCGATCACTATCAATTTTTTTTTTAGATGTTCTATATATAGTCCTCCCTACAATGACCTATCGGTTTTTTGATCCGATCAAAAATCGAATTTTGGCAGGCCAAAAACAACCAAAATTTTGGTTAAAATTTGATTTTTTTTTTTACAACGCTGCCATTTTGTCAATTTTTGATATTTTTTTTTTATCGTAGGTCATTGTATGGACAATATCATCTAGTTTAACGAGAATTTTTCATTTTTTGATTTCATCCACGGAGAAGGCCGGAATCACTGCAGCAGTTGAGGCACTTTTTTTTTTTTAGCGCCGTTGGAGATCGGCTCTAGCTTAAAAAATATTTAATTTTTTTCTTTAAAAATTTTTCTATATATTCTTCAAACATGTATAAATATATTCTGAAAATTTGAAAAGAATTGATCAAGTAGTTTTTTTTATAAAAATTCCCAAAAATCACCATTTTTTTAGGCCGTCACACTAGTTGTGCCCCTTAAAAGCTGCTATTAATAATCATAAAGTTTTAAGAAATCAATTAGTGAAAGCTTTATAAAGCCAGAATAAGTAATTTTGTATTCGTTGTTCGTTTTAATAATGCTTGCTTGTAAATATCTCTCCTCTTTAATGTTTGTATTTTTGTTTTAGCAACAGTAGATTGTAGATTTCTAGACTAGATGAATACAGATAAAGAACATCGATTTGTTCGCTGCAAGCGTATTGGTTTTGAGTGCCAACTAGTGGAGCAACTAGTCCCTTCATTCCACAGAGAAAGCAAGCACATTTTGAGCTCTCATTTCAATGCAGACTCCTGGGGTTTCCAGCTCGCAGCAAATGCTCGGTGTAATTTGCCACCGTTCATTGCGCAGTTTACTCAGTTTGCAGCTCCTTTGAGGACGGAGCACTGAAATTTGTCGCCTCGGCTCGAATTGCCTGCCACATGTGGCAGCCAAGTGGCAATTGCAAAGGCAAAAGGCAAGTTCCACTGTGGCCGTCTTTCATTCCATTCATCCATTCATAATTTGCTACGTGTTGCCTTGTTGATGGGGGAAAAAAAAAAGAAAAGTGGGTCTTATGTCCTCACAATAATAATGATAATTCCGTGTTGGGTCCATAAAATGATGAAATCAAATGATTTCGCTTCGAAACGGAGTAGGAAAATAAAAATTACAATACACGTCGCTTCCTTTCCGCTTTTCCCCACTCCTCGTAATTTTCCCCATTTCCCCTGCTGCATTTTCCTCATTATTGTGAGCTGGTCGTGCGTGCTCTTCCTTTTTCCCTGGGATTTCTTCATTAATAACCGAGGAATCCTTTGTGTGTGTGCGCCTTTCTATCTGTCTCGTCCTCAGTGCCTAATGGCTTGTAATTTCCATTCCCAGAGTGGCTGGGCGTTTTCAGCCGTGGGGCAGCCAGCCAAAGAGTTTGACAAGTCAATTTGTTAGTTAATTTGATATGCGTTGCTATGCCACATTGCCATTTCATTTGAGCAACTGAATTTCACTTTGGACTTGCCCCAAAGGGCAATTGCGTTTGAATTCCATCCATCCATCTATCCATCCATTCGCTGCATTTATCGTTGCCGAAATTCATTTATTCTGTTTTACCCAAGCCACTATGGGGCATTTGCCCACATTTGGTGGCCGAAACCCATTTTTTAAAAGTCGTTAAAAAAATTTTTTTTTAATCGCAATGAGTTAAGATAACATTGAGGTAAAATGTTACGTACTTAAAATTTTAACAGACCGCACCACTGTTAAGATATCAGCTGTCAAAGTCAGCTGTTTTTTAACAGAAGCACATGCTGTAAAATCGTTTGTATTTGTTCAAACTTTAAAATATTTAAAAAGCGCATTTAAAACCAATTTTTGTAAAATGTGTGAATGGAAGTCGATTCAGAATGGTTTGGATTATGTGTTTGTGAGCTTAAATTATAAAAATTGATTGTGGCGTCCCTATAATCTTGTGTAAGTTCTAACCTCAAAAAATTGAAACGTAGTCTTACATTTTTGTTTTTAAATGGAGCAACAAAGTGAGTCCAGCTGAGTCCAGCTCTAAAACTTGTTTTATTTTGTAGAGTGATCAATTCTCCTTATACTCAGTTAATATAAAAGTGCACTTTTGCGCACTTTCTTCAAAATTTAACTTTTAAGGTGCTAACCTAGCAATAGAAATTTAACACAGTTTGAGAGAAGACATGGCACTTGGCTAAGCTCGCAAACATTTGTTACTATAAAAAACGCGAAGAACCAAGTGGACCATGAAAAATAAGTCAGGAAAACATAAACATATTAACTAAAAGTAAAGTTTTATACTTTTTTGTTACAGGGTCTTAAAAAGTGTTCCTCAAAATACAAAAAAAGTCGATATAATTATTAAAAAAAAGTTAGGACAACGATTTTTTTTTAAAATGGTTTTGTTTAAAAATTCTAGTCAGAAAAAAAAAAAAAATTTTTTTTTTTTAATATTATTCATTAAAAAAATTTTTTTTAATCTAAAAAATGGGCGAAGCCACGCCTATTTTTCCTAAAATACATGCCTTATTTTATTATTAACTCGAATCAAAAAACAGATCCCAAAAATGTTGATTAGTTTTCAAGTTATTAATTAATGCCACAAAAACTGGTCATTTGCCCCATAGTGCAAGCTGAGCAGAGAAACTCTGAAAACTAGGCAATAAAATCGTTGCCAAGCGGATTGTCAAGGCGAAAAAGGGGCAAAAGGGGCGTGGCAACCGCAATCGAGATGCGACGAGATGGTCGAAGCCAAATCGTCTGAGGGCGTGGCTCCATCAGCAGACATGTGTGTGCTCACATTTTAATTTGTGGCCTGCACATCCTGTACATCCTGTTCAGTCTGTACATCCTGTTGCACTTGCGAGGCACTACACAAAAAAATTGATTATTTTCTAATAGCTTTTGATAAAAAAAACATTTTGTCTGAATTAGCTAAATAAACTGAAAAACAGGGAATGCATTTTAGCAAGAGGAATGCTAAGTATTATTTGTTATTTGTTCAAAGTCTCATTTTTGTATTAATTATAGAGGAAGTAAAATATGTTTATACTGTAATGCCTATTTGGGATCCCTGCTAATTTATATGTAGTGTAATACATAATTTTGGCTAATGTGTTTAAGGTGACTTTCCAACTAAAAAAACATAACCTGATACTTGTTCTCCTCAAACAAACAAATTTATAATTTACCGACATTTCATTTTGTAATGAAATTAATACTTATATAATTAATACCTTCAATATCATAATATAATAATTTTTTGTAATGTAAAACTTAACCCAGGGAAAGTTGTACCTTATTAACCCTTTAAATGGCAGCTTTTCCCAGTGCAATTTTCCCTCTGTGATTGGCTTTTCTTTTCCGTGTGGTTGGCAGAGCATCTTCCTTCTGTTTTGACCGGCAGCTGGGCATAAAATATTGATTCGACGGCCAGACAGACGAGCCCTGCTCTGAACTGCTGAACAGCTGAGGCCGACAATCTGCCATTTTAGTTGCAGGTTCGCCTGCTCGTTTTGGCCATTTATGAATATTCAATAAAAACAACAGCAGCCGAACAACCGAACATCAAGGATGGCGATAAAAGCGTCTGCTCCGGTGGAAAGTGTCGTGTCCTTTTTGGCCAATATTTTCCGGTGCAGGAATGTTTTCCACCGACCGCAGAGCGATGCAAACAGAGCACATGCAACACATGGAAGGATAACGAAGGACTCTCTCCTCTTCTTCTTCTTCGAATTCGAATTTGAAGCTCCTGTTTGTTGGTCGCTTGTGTCTGGCGAACACAAGTTTTTATCGCCAGTCGCCGATCAAAAAGTAGCAACTTTGGTTTGGGCTTTGAGGTTTTTTCGAGTGTTGGGGGTTTGTGGGGGTTTGTTTTTTTTTTTTTTTTTTTTTGGGGGGGGAAGCAGGCTGCGAAACTGTGCAACTTTATTACTTTCATTATGCTTTATCCCTGGCGGCGGTGACCATCGTCTCCTTCGCCTCGCCACCTTGGCCATAAACAACTTTGGCTCTAATCTCCTCCTGGCTGCGGGCCGTGTCGAGTGGACATCGTCCTGCGGCAGGGACAACTCCTCCATCCCCCTTCCCCTTTTCACTTCCGAATCCCCGTCCTTGCTGCTTTTTGAGGCAGCTGTTTGCACAGGTGCACGGCTTGCTAATTGCAGCGGTATTAGTGGGGCTTTGTCAGCGGCTTAAAGCGCTCACCCCAACCTTCTTTCTCCTCTGAAGCACGATTTTTAGATCCCCTGGCAAGGGGTTACTAAGCTACCTAGCCATAGCTACCAAAATAAATAGTAACTAGCCTTTACTAAATCAGGATTTACTTATTTTC